TAATAGCGCTGTCTATAGCCAGAGCTGGTAGCTGTAAAGGTATCTGACTGGGTATCTAACGAAATACTTTCATAGATTTCTCACAAATGGCGCTACGACTAAAAAGTCGTTGCAAACCAAACACAAAGATCCGACAACAAGCACATAGAAAAATTCGTGAGGTCCGCTGGCTCGACTTGTTCGTCCCTTCACTTGATGTTATAAATAAATTATAAAACATTATATCGTTCGGTGGCTTAATTGGCATAGCGCCTGCCAGGGTTTGTTAGGAGACGTCTCGGTTCGAATCCGGCCGAATCGAAGGAACTTTTTGTCTTTTTGTAAGTGTTCGACCTTTGTATTAATAATAATAGCATTACTAGTTATATAATTCATATTTACAAATATATTTTGGTTGATTTTAAATCGGGACTTAATCGTGTGTGAAAAGATTATTTACTTCGACGAGGTTTCGGATGTGTTCCAACGTCCATGGTCTCGAAGGAACAGAAGAGGCTGTTAGTCAATAGTGAAATATAATAATATGAGATTTATTTGCCTAAAATACGATTAACAATTGGTGGTAAATATACTACCTCTATGTACATAATAAGACAGTCCTCATTTATCGATATTAATGTTCAAATAGTAGATTTGAACATTAATTTAATAATTTAATTAACTTAATGTAATATTTATTTTAGTACCTAATCCAATTCCTATAGTATTATTTTATTTATGAAGATAGTTGTAAAATGTACAAATTATAATAGTCAATTAATTGTCGTCGCATAAAGAGGTAAAACTAAAATAATCTTTTAAAATCTAATTCATTCATCTATATCAGTAACCGAATTACATTTTCATCAGAAATATTAATTGCATTTGTAAACCTAGGCGGAATGAGAAAGAGGGTTTCATCTCTCTCGATGCGCAGCCGTCTTTCCGCGCCCAAATTTCTTCCTATTTTTTTTCTTATTTTTTCTTTCCCAATTTTTCCTTTTTCACAGTTCTGGAGACTTGATTGTGATAGATTAATTTTTTCCATGTATTTAACATGGTGACCTTTGACCTCCATTATCTCATGTCATACGTCGAAATTTAAAATCTGGACTTCGTTTCGACTTACAGATGGCATTTTTCGTGTTTGTTTCTAATTTCATGCATATTGAGAAACGACCGAGTAATTTCACTTTACTCGTCGCGCTTCGCTCATTTTGTAAGGTTGTAATTCAGTTCCGTTGCAAAATATAAAAAAAATGCAAAAAAAAGATAAAAGGTTTTTAAATTTTTTTTGTTGTGATTTCGCTAAGTGATGACCCTACCCTAATTTCACTTTATGCACAACCGCTCAATTGAACGCATTAAATTACGTTAGCAACAACAGCTTACTTAGACAAAATGTGTTAATTTGGTGTAATTCCTCATGCGAATTGCATAGTTATGTAAATATCATTGATTACTTTGTGAAAAGACAATAAAGCGCTAAAAGTGAATAAACCTTGAAATTAATTATATGAGGCGAGTTTTGGGTAAGCATTAAGCGTACTGTGGCTAGCCTATAGTAAAGGCTGATCACTTATGAGGTTTTGATGCGATTGCGAAATGCGCATTTGACTTTAAAACCATCTAAGTGTCATTTCGGTTTTCAGAAGGTGACTGTTCTGGGACATGAAGTGTCGGCCGAGGGAATTGGACCGGATAGTAAGAAAGTTGCGGCGACGAAGGAGATAAATCCTCCATGTAGTCTGAAAGAAATGAGAGCGGTTTTAAGATTGTTCTTTTATTATCGTAAATTTATTGATAATTTTGCTAGATTGGCACTTCCCATCACGAATTTGACGAAAAAGGACAAGGTGTTTGTTTGGACGAATGAAGCGCAGGAGGCATTTGAAGTGTTGAAAGATCGAATTTGTAAAGCGCCTGTTTTGGGTCATTACTCGTCAAATAGTGAACAGGTGACGCGGTTGTATGTGGACAGCAGTGGATATGCAATTGGATGTTGTTTAGTGTAGGGAATGGGTGAGATGAAACCTATAGCTTATGCCTCGAAAGTTAAGTGAAGCAGAAAAAAAATATTCCGTTTGTAGTCTGTTCTGTGAAGAAAGAATGTTTAGCAGTTTTATGGGCGTTGAATTATTTTAAAAGTTATTTATGGGGACTTCGTTTTCAGATAGTTACAGATCATCGGGCACTTGTGTGGTTAAAAAGTAAGAGAGATATGAGTGGAAGATTAGCCAGATGGTCGTTATCGATTCAAGGTTGGGATTTCGACATTGTTTATTGTAAGGGTAAAGATAATGTTGTTGCAGATTTCTTGAGTCCGTTGCTGGAGGATATAGAGTCGAAAATGGAGAGTGTACCGGAGCAGAGAGATGAGTTAAAAATGTATGTTTTGCATGCGAATGATGACCAGAGTAAACAGGAGGCGGATGGATTTTGTAGAAATATTATTAATTGCATTCGTTCGGGGGTTGGTGATAATTATCGAGGCTTCTTTTTGCAGAACGGAATCCTTTGTAAGAAGAGTGTCGTTTGATTCAATATATAGTTGATTTAGTGGTCGTTCCGTCTGAATTATTTTCGGAATGTATGAAGGAACTGTATGACAGTGCCTGGACAGGCGGACATTTTGGTTTGTTTAAAACTTTTTCAAGGTTTAGACAGAGGTATTTTATGGTAAATAATACATAGGAATCGTATGCCAAGATGTTATTTTTCTATTCTATTTTTTTAAACACATTCTAAATACAAAACTATATTCACTCAACCAGTAGTTCTACTCATAGAGTAGAGCCTAGACTACATTACAATAAAATCTTCAAAAATAATATGCCTATATATGGTCTTAATTACACACAAGTTTGTGTGGAAAATAAAATTGTTTAGTGTGAAAAAAGAAACTATTTTTTCGGATTTAAATCGCGTAATTTGGTTTTTTCAAAGAAACCAAAGTTTTGGGGTCACAGCCGACGGTGATGTAGAGTCAACCACAAGTTATGATTAATATTAATACAAGCCATAACCTGGAGAATAGTTAGAAAAGATATTAATTTATTTTAAATTACCAAAGAACATTTCAATTTACGCTACATACGATTTGAAATTATGATTTTTCTTTTTCTAAATAAAATTTACTAATTAAAAAGAATTTGAAATAAAAGAAGATATATTCTTATGTCTGCTTGGGATTATCATCCGAGGAAATACTGGATCTCAAGCTGGTGGTACGGAGAAACTATCTTCCCTGTTGAAATACATATGTTTTTTGACATTAATATCCTTTCGCAGTGTCCTGAGTAGAAAACGTTCTTTAGCAATAACCTGTCGCTTATCAAA